GAACGAAATGATTTGAAGGATATCATGTAATGGTAAATAAGTATTTATCTTCTTGGAATTTGTTTACTGATTTTAATTCCTGATAATAAATGACCTCTATACTCACGAGCTGAGTGATTAGTGTGAATAAGATAATTTGAAGGGTATTACGCAATGGTAGGTAAGTATTTGTCTTTTGTAAACTTGACTAATAAATGATCTTTATACTCACTAACTAGATTAATGCAAATAAAATGATTTGAAGGATATTGCATAATGGTAAAATATGTATTTATCGTTATGTTCTTGATTTGTGAATTTGTTTTGCTGTTTTAATCTCACCAATTAATATAGTATACTCACTAGCTAAATAATAAATAATTTTGAAGTTAAAATTGTTGATATATATGATATAAGTTAAAAAATGTTCTCTATGCTTACTCTCTGATATTTAAAAATTAAATGCATGAGATATCTTCATTTTTTTACAATAAACCAAATTACAACCCATCGATAAAAATTAAAATTTAACATACTTTTCCAACCATTCCCACAATTTATTATTATTATTTTTCACGCCAACTCCAAATCTGTAACAAATACCAGTTTTATAGGCTCCATTAGAATTACCCAGTTCGGCGGATCTTTAGTAATATTCAAATGCCTTGTGTTCATCCTTCTCAACTCCAATTCCTAAATAATAACAATATCCAACTTGGTACATTCCATTAGAATTATTCATGTCTGCAGATTTTTGATAATAAGTGAATGCCTTGTTTTTATCCCTCTCAACTCCAATTCCATATTCATAACAATAACCAAGCCTGTATATTTCATCTGAATCATTCATATCTGTCGATTTTTGACAATTGATGAGATTCAATTGATTAAAATCATCATTGATCTGAGTAATATCTTCTTTCAAGTCTTCGTTTGCCATTTGATGTATGAAAAAATAAAAGGAATGTTAACGCTTTATACTGTACAATGCTTAACGTTTAAAACAAAGGAGACCCATTCTTGGTTACACGACCCGTAGATCACTTCCGAAGATTTCATACAAGACGTCTCAGGTATACAAAGGTTGAGACAATCATGAATTTCAGTAAAGATGCAATTAACATTTATATTATAGTTCGAATAAATAACTTGTTGTGAATAGGTAAGCACGTCTTTATTAACTTGTTTACTTGTTAATCTATCAACCAATTAACTTTATTGTCGCTTAATAATCTTTTTTCTAATCTAAAACCCAAACATCTCATCATGAAACCAATATTCTGTTAGGAGAAACTCCTCACAATTTTAGTACGTACATACATATGTATGTATATAGACCTCTCGTCGTATCTTTAAAAATAAAGATAAATGAATAAATGACATTTCATATGATCATGTGAATTTTTTTGCCATGATATTTTTTGCATAATCAGTTTTGCAAAACATCACGGAAAAAACTTCACATGGTCATATTAACTATCGGATAACATCATTATTGAACATACGTACGACAAATAACAGCAAATTGTTTTTTTTCATCGGAGTTAATTTCACTCATGTGCTGCTACGCAGCACATGGAGTGACATTAATTCCGACAAAAAAAACAATTTGCTGTTATTTTTTGTCGTCTGCTATTATTTGTCTACTTAGGCTTTTTAAAGTTTTTTGACCATTGCTTAAACGTTATTTTTGGCTATTTCTATTTTTCACTCAACAATTCAAGGAAATTCAATCGATATAAAGGATACTTTATTTCACAATCCCTATGCTCGTAACATCTATTGATGATGTCACGCCCGTGGAATAATATACGACATCATAAAGTATCAGAAATGTTCACGAGCGACCGTGGAATATTATTAAAATATGTCATGAAAGTTCAAGTTCGCTTAGTATCCTATAGGCCAACATGCATCTGATTAGTCAATCACTTCAAGTTGAATCTATACAGTTCTCAAATAAGCGATAATACTTATTATGCCGAAGAAACCTTTTAGTCTTAAAAATCAAAGACGCGTTGCTTCAAGATTTTTACCGCATATTACATTATAAGACACATATTAATAATAGCTCGTTTTTTGAGTAGACTTTTTTAAAAAATATATGATGTTTTGCTACGCTATGTGCAAGAAGCTTCAACTACATGTTACTTTGGGGTATGCGATGTCCTATTGTATTGAAGATCATATTAACATAACCACAACTTTCCGAAATTCATATAGTAAAAGAAATCGCCATTCTTCCTTTATTTTCAACGATAGTGATTTGAATTTTGCTTGAATTTAATAAAAATGCGTTTTAGTTTAATAATATAGAAAGTTTTTTAATTTATAAAAAAGCCGATTATGTAAAAATCTATTCTAAAAATATTAAAAAATAACAATTTTTACGTAGATATTAAAAATTTTAATATGTATATTAAATAAAAATATTCTCTCTATATTAGCATTCTATATATAATTCTTAACAAGAATAAATAATTTTTTTACAGACAGTAAAACCTTAGCAATTGAAAGCTTAATATATATACAGTATCTTTCAATCGCTAAGGTTTTACAAAAACTTCACTGTTTGCAAAAAAATATATTTATTCTTGTTAAGAATTATATATAACGCTAAATATAGAGAGAATATTTTTATTTAATATTCATATTAAAATTTTTAATATCTACGCAAAAATTGTTATTGTTTTAATATTTTTAGAAAAGATTTTTACATAATCGGCTTTTTTATAAATTAAAAAACTTAAACTAAAACGCATCTTTATTAGATTCAAGCAAAATTTAAATCACTATCGCTGAAAATAAAGGAAGAATAGCGATTTATTTTACTATATGAATTTCGGAAAAGTTGTAGGTTATGTAAAAAATGTTGATATCGATTTTAATATATGGACATCGCATACGTACCCCTTGGAACAAAAAAAATGGTTAGCATGTATAAAATATATTTAATAATTCTAAAAATGGCTTATCTACGAGCGAGCGCCGCCCTGTCATCGGACTTCCAATAATATTTTGTGTACAGTTAGCCGTCTAAGGAAAATCTATCACAATAATAGATTTTCCAATAATATTTTGTGTACAGTTAGCCGTCTATGGAAGTCCGATGACTTGGCGAATACTGTATATATTTTCTACAACCGTTACGTCACAACTACGTCTTTATCGTTATCTGAGAATTATTTCTGAGAGGTGTAACAATTCATCCCGTATTATGTACGACTAGGAATAGGCACAGAAACTTTGGGCACTTGAACCTTGTGTACGACACATACATTTGCGTCGTCAAAGGGATGTAATGTTCGTAAATAAATTTTTATTCTACAAGAAATGTTTCAAATAACATAGAATGTAAAACTTATTGAATTGCAGATCGCAGGTGCTTGCTCTCTAGATATTCTAATTCTCTTCAGCGATATCAAACAGAATTATATCGTAATGATAGAAAGCAGATATCTTGTACGATGTTTTAAATGTAGGTTTCCATTCCAGAATCAATGCTATACAACTGATAAATACAGTATTTTGGCTTCCAATGGAAATTTCTTGGTCGGAATTGACAAAAACATAGTTACCGAAGCATAATGGAAAACTATAATAGACTAGATTTTGTGTTTGTGTCCTCCCGATCAGGGACCTGAATAACTTGCGTAAATTATTTTTTAACTGATAGTACTGCAGTAACAGGTAAATTAAATTAATTACGTAACTTACTGGAGTTGCGATATCAATTGATCAACAAACATGCGTATATATAATCAATTTTTTAGTGCCTACAAATTTGCCGAAGTTCGAATAGAAAAATATTTGAATTTCGAATCCTACTACTTTTGAACCAGTGTGTCTGCGCAGATAAAACTATAATTTTTGGATTCTATCACCACAAAAAATCATAGGGATGCTATCGGTTATCGGCTTAATCTGACTTGTATATTTAACTATATATATATTATAAACCCGATTAATGAATAGAGCCATCATGTAATTTCTAATTTTATATACCCGATATTTCGGGTTCTGTGTAACAGCAGTACTAATAATTTAGCCAATCGACAAAATGAGAAGGTTTTAACTATCCATAATTTTCTCAACGGCGACAGTGCAGTGCAGTGCTGTTTTCCCAGTTACTCAAAATTTACTAATTAACGCTAAAAAAATATTCACGAGGTTGTTTAACGTTAGTGTGGGTAACAAAACAATTATTTATAATGTTAGACCAGTTAAGATTAATCTGTTTGCATTACAAACAGGAGGAAACGTTGAAGTTACACAACTGATTTTTCACACGGTGTGAAACACATAAAAAAAATATTTTACAATACTTGATCGAACTTGGTCAGTCATCTAGTACATGTTACGATTATAATCCAACATCATTTTTTTATAATAAAAACTGATGTTGGATTATAATCGTAACATGTACTAGCTGACTGACCAAGTCCGATCAAGTATTATAAAATAATTTTTTTATGTGTTTCACACCGTGTGAAAAATCAGTTGTGTAACTTCAACGTTTCCTCCTGTTTGCATTACATTAACGCACCTAATTTCCCACCCAGAAATTCAAGAATTTTCTAATTGACTCGATAGCAGATCCTAACCTTTTACGATTATTAGAAAAAAATTAAATATTGTATAAGTGGATAACATTATCTTACGTACGTTACTTTTTGTGCTGAAATTTTTGTTAGAAATGTTATAAATGTACATTATGTAGGACGATAATCGTGTACAAGATTTGCATGCATAAATACAAATAATTCAAAATTTCCACTCAAGAAATTTTATGATTTGTAAACTTGAAAATCAATGCTTATTCTTACTATATACATAATTTTATGCTAGAGGTTTAGAAACTTCATGTTAAGAGACCATATTTACTTTTTGATTTAATATCATTTTGAATTTTTACCAACCAATTTATAACGATTAAGGTTTGATTTTATTTTTATTCTATTTATTTTATTTTTTTATTAGTCATTCTAGTCAATCTAATTAAACCTTCTTACCGTAGTATGATGTCAATCCCCGAAAGTTTTCCTGTAGAATGTATGAGAGAAATAATAAGCTATATTAAGCATGATTTTAATTCCCTTCATTCTTGTCTTACGGTGAATAAAAAATTCGGTGAGATTGCCATTGAAATTTTTTGGAGGAACCTCTGGACATCACGAGGCCATAATGGTTTCCGCGAAGGCGCTTATAGCTTTTGGGCTGCCGTTCTTCGAACACTAATTTCTTCCTTACCAAGTGAATCAAAAGATTTTTTAAATAATAATGGTGTTACAATACATCGATTGAGCCATGGAAAAAAATTAATATATGACTATCCTAGCTATTGCAAAACTATGGATTGTTTGGCAATTTCTAATATGATAGAGCAAGTGATTAGTGTGACGCATCAAAACGACCGTCCTAGAAGATTAGAATATATTCAACACCTTTTACAACAGGAAATTTGCAAATTATTGATAGATCGAAGTATTTCTATACCAATCCTTAAATTTGATTTATTACCCGTCGCCTATTTTCCAGGTGCTGATAAATGTTTTGAGAAATTATCTGAGCTACATTGTCATACGGCAACTCCAGATCTTCTTTACTATGCTTTGGCACAAATTTGCAAACATATCCAGAACATTATCATCGACTTTTATGAGGCTGATAACCTTGGGCTATCGGGTTTGATTGATGTACAACAAAATCTCAAACGATTGGAGTGTAGAATCGATGAACTGGCTGTAACTCAAAGGTTTCCTGCAATTATTGACGTGATAAAATCAAATGCAATCTCGTTCGTTCATCTCGAACTTTTACACTTTACATGTATTCCACCCTCGATAATATCATTAATGCAAAATTTAAAAATACTTAAGATTAAGATTTTACCGGACGATGTTCCACGGAATAATATTTGGGAAGAACTTGCATCTGTGCGTTTACCAAAATTGGAAGTCCTTCATATCTCTCTTCATTCATTAAGATTAGAAACTTTAAATCCTTTAATCGCAAATAATTATGGTAATCTCAGCACATTAATAATTGATTTTAGTCCAATAAGTAATCAATCATTCTTCTTTAATGAAACGGTCGCTCAATTTTGTCCAAATTTAAGAATTTTTGCTACATGGTTTCTAAATAACGAATTTGATGTACTTGAAGGAATATTAACCAAATGTCAACATTTGGAAGAATTATTCCTTCAAGCTTTTGATGATAAGAATTTGAATTTAAAAATTCATAGACTGTTCAAATTATTAGAAATAACTACTCCAAAGCATTTTTCGAAATTAGGATTATTAGGAAATTGGTGCGATCCATCAGATGCTCTGAAATCTTGTTTTGAAAGCTGGAAAAGGAAAAGCAATCATGTTTCTTTGGTTTTCTCCAGGAATGTATGCATTGGTTCCGAGCACATGGATCTTATTCTTCAATATAAAAATGACGGAGTGATTAGACGGTATAACGTTGTGACCGATCCTGTAAGGCACGAATTCGGTTATTAATAACGTGTATGTAAATTATAATTTTATAACTATTATGAACTGGTTGTTAGATTTTCCCTCTTTAAGATGCTTATATGAGAACATTATTATTTTTCTCTAACCAGGTCAATATTTCAAAATTTAAAATTTCTCTCTTCAACAAATAATAGATGAGGCTTTTTTTTTTTTTTTTTTTCTTCTTACGTACCTATTCAAAAATATGCTTTCCTGAATTTCTTTCAAATTATGATTCTTAATTTTTTGACAATAGTAAACCCTTTAAACAAATCTAATAAATATATGAATAAGTCTGTTAATTAGATTCAAAAAATATATATTGCTAGAGTTTTAGCGTTAATTAAGTTATCTAATTTGTTTAATATTTAAATTATATAGCACGAAATAATGTCCATAAGCATTATTGCATCTTTAATACCGTATATTATTGATTAACATTTAAATTTCAAAAATATTTGGTACAAAGTAAGAGTTTTCTTATATTCGGGTCTGATATTATGATTAAAACATTATAGTCTAAATTTTAGTTCCAAAATCGAGACACGGTACTTTGTTTCAAAATCGTGAACTTATGATGTACCGTATATAGAATTAGCATTTTTTTTCTTCGATAATTTGTTCTAGGTTGTATCTCAAGCTCAGTAACTCGTTATCCATACGTATATATGCAAAATTGAATCGCCAGGACTCAGTTTATTGGATTTATTGATATTTATCTGGTTTTTTGTAATTACCTATTTACTGTATAATGATTTTGAAACTTTTATAAAAATTTATCTATATAGTAAAACCGAGCTGTTTTAAATTTAATACTTATAATAAATATAATAATATACTTTGTATGTTGTTTTTTTAGTAATATATTATAAAGCAAAGTCTTTAAAAAAATATTGAAAAAAATTTTATTTATTGGTATATAATCTTGTCTCTTCTTTAACTAGAGAATTAGGCCAATTAGCAATATGCCTATTCAGAATTGCATGCAGTATCTATAGAACTATAGAGTTTGATGGTATTTTTTTATAAAAACTAAAACAATTGCCTTTTTGTAAGTTTTATTTTATTTTTTTTGGTCTATAAAAATTAACTTACAATTTCTGAAATATAAAATAATAAAGTATTAGCCATGTATCAAAATTCACGCTTCAATTAACTTTTTTCAACAAAAAAACAAATTCATGTTTACAATGCTACATTTAACCAATCCAGTATACTTATCAAAGTTATAGATAAATTAAATGAATCTAGTACATAATTAAGAAATAAATATGCACTAATTATTATAATATTGACAATTAAATTATTAATTGCATAACTAAAAGCAAATATTAGTAGATAAAAAATTGCTAAATAGATGATAAAAAGAAAAAATATAATGATATAAAAAATAATTGGATGTTTTATAGAATAGGTAGACAATATAAGAAATAAGAATTAGTAATCATTAATAGATACTTAGCGGAGTTGTGGAGTTTGCCCACCTATTCTATAGAACATCTAGTTTGGATAATAAAAAAGTATAAAGCAGTATTTATAATTTACATTAAACCAGTATTGTTATGTTATAAAAATTTTAAAGATAATACAAAATAATACTATATAATATTAGAGAATTTCTAGATACAGTATCTCTAATTAAAAATGCTTAATAATATTATTTTGAACCTAATAGTTAATTAAAATGCCAAAAAGCACATAATATATAACATGAAAAATGATTATTTTAGATTAGTTTGCCAAAACAAACCAACAACAACAAAAAAAGATAAAGAAGTAAAAAATATAAAAAATATTAAAAATAGCTATCTAAACCTATTTTAAAATACTAATTAAAAATATCAAGAAGGTGATTTTATTTATAAAACTTATTTTTACATAACTCTACCCTAATTAAAGTTGTATCTTGGAAATAGTTTTTGGGTTAAAAATATATAAGCTAAACATCTTTAAGCAAAAATGCCTAAAATTTTTTATAATATTATTTATTTTTATATAGTACCAGACAGTAAAAGACATCCACTCTTTATTAGTAAAACTTTAAATTGCTATAACTTTTTTAAAAAAAATTAAATCAAAAAACCCTTTGACAAATTGATAAATTTTTAGCTAAATTATATTTTTGTTAAAGAATTTTTTTTATTCTTTATTTTAAAAAAGTTATCCCTTAAGCTGTAGAGTTCGTGTAATAATTTTAGCTTAAAAATAGTATAAATTTAGTTATGATCTATTTTTTTTAATATTTAAAATATTTAAATAAAATTTCA